CTGGATCTCTGACATGGTTAGGCATCCTGCTCTTTCTAAACACACTGTTCATGCAATTCTAAACACACTGTTCTTGTAAGCTCCCAAGGAGACAAGATTGGTCGAATTTGTTGCCTGGAAGCTATTGAATAGAATGCAAAAAGTTGTAATTAGTGAATCAATTTTTTTTTTTTTTTTGATTTATTTTTTAAACATCTATGATATAGGTTTTATAAGTAAAATAAAAATATATTTTTATTTAAAGTTTAAAACTGTACGCCCAACGTATCAGTCCGATTTTTTTTTTCACGTAGAAGTCCTATTTCTTTTCTCTCAGAAGAGCTCAAACGGTCCTTCAGTCGCTCTTCTATGTTGACATTTCTCGTTGTGGACATCTTAATTTTTAAGAGAGAATGATATTATTATTTTTTTTTGTATCATTTTTTTATAATTATATATATATTAGTGTGTGTTTGATGCATGTTCATATCCATGCTCTATAATTTTAATAATAGACGTGTCTTGTGTACAGATCATGTTGTGTTCATGCTCATATTAATGCAACTTAAATATAAAGTGTTGAAGATATATATCAAATTGTGATAAAAGGTATTTTTGTTTCGTCTCCACGTCAAAGTTTTGATTCGAGAAAAAAATCATTTTATTTATTTTCCTGATCAAAGATAATGCATGAAGCAGCTCATTCATCTTTGAAATACACTTCATGTTTGGCGTTGAACTATTGGTCAATCGCTTACTCTAAAAGGGAAACTTTATAGTCTCAATTGTTCGTTATCTTTCTGTCAGTAGTTCTGGTTTAAACATATTAGTTCCCTGAGTTCTCCTACTCCTCGATGGCGTCAGTTGCGATAAGGATAGAGAAATTGTTAGTTAATCGTGCTACAACAACCATCAAAGAAGAATTTATAATTAGTTTTCTCTTTATTTTTGTGTCATGCATGGCTTATAAATAAGGCTTAGGATTGGGCTGTTCATATGTTTCCAATTTTTTTTGGACCGCTGAGTAGGCATCATGTCGAGCGGTATGAGCAAAAAGATGGTAGACCCAAGCCTAATGTCCTTGGCCAGATATCCCTTCCTCCTCCAGCATATGGTCTCAAAAAGAAGGTGGTTAGAAGGGAAAAGAGGAGAGGCGGTCGGCCTTGAGCCGGCTAATCAGGTTGTTTCTTTCGTGTGATCTGAGGAGCAGTCGCCAAAGAGGCTTCTCCAAACACCCACGGATCCTGGCCTGAGTGAGGAGAGGGTTGCAGTGGACCCGTCGGCCTTGTCCAGGGAGTGGATAATTGATGATCATAGTAGCCCAAGAGCGAAGGTTCTTGTTGACCCTTCGTCGCTACCTCCGACGGAATGAAGAGGAAGCACCCTAGTAGGAGAGGAAGGTCTTCAAATGACTGGGTTAGAGCTAGAGAGGTTCATGGGTATGTAAGGAATTCCTTTAGACTTTAGTTGGTGCAGTAGCTTGACATCCTTTTAAATGTTGTATGACTTTGATGTCATTTTTAACAACGCAGGCTCCCATCCATCGAGTTATTGTCCGCTTTAGCATCATGATCTCACTGTTTTGCATCATTTGTGTAACTTCTCAGAAGGTCACCCATCCCGAGAGTGCTCTTATTTTGGAGTTTTTATTAAAAGACCAATCATTACACATAAAGGCACCTCAATGTTTAAGAGTTCAACTTCACACTCCTTAAGGGGTCATAATTAATTTGGTTTATTGTGTTCATTTTGAGTTTGGTTTAAAAAAAATGACCTAAGCATAGTCAACCCAAATTCTACTTGTTAATTAATTGAATAAGAAGTTCAAATCATTTCTAACTTGATTACATAGAGACACTACCAGTAGAACAAGAAAATCATGTAAGTAGTGTTGGGCTAGTGTTAACTCAATCTAAAATGAACATGATTATCTAATCTGGCACAACAAAAAAATTAATTATAATTTTAATAAGTTTTAATGACTTATAAAAGAATCAATGAATTGAGTTAATTTTTTTTCAGATTGACCAGGCTTGATGCATTGTAACCAATCATTTCTTTTCTAGATCATCCAAGTAAAATACAGTCAAATTTGAATCTTGTAAGTGTTACCTGAATCTAAATTTTTTTGTTCTATACAAATTAAGCTTTGTTTTTACTGTTATATTGACACCCTTAAATTTTCTATTACCATTTAAGTTGTTGCACAAAATATTTATCATCATTATTAGCTTTTATGCAAAATTAGTAATTTCTCAGCTCAATTGAAGGTCTAATGATTTTCTAAATTTTATGCACTTATAGTCAATTGAGCATGTCAATGAGGTAAATCTAATGAGTTCATGGTTGCCTATTTCTAAATTCATTAAAGACCGGTAAATCTAATGAGTTCATGGTTGCCTATTTCTAAGTTCATTAAAGACCTGATATGATATGATGAATAAAATTATAATGTGATAAAGTGTGACTATTCAAGCTATGAAATAAAAAATCTTTTATTTTAAATGGATGGTAAGATGAGTTTATAATTGTGTTCAAGAGATATACTTGAATAAATTGCTTAGGAAGCTACTAAATAAATATTAATTTATGAAAATATATACACAAAAGAACAAATTTATTGTTTTCTATCCGTTTTTTGGTAGTTGGATGGATTTGCCACTCCTCAAATGTCCCAAAATACATGAAATGGATTTCATTATAGCGATTATAAATCTTAAGATTTAAGAGAATGATCAAAGAATACTTATTGGATGAATTAGAAAGCATCAAAGGTGTTGATAAAACATTCTTCTTTGTCTAATTATTGAGTTTTCTTATTTGATAGTTTACTTTGAAACCTAAAGTGTTATTGACTCCTATTCAACGAATTATAGACCATATCCAACATTATTTCAATTATCTTTACCTTACCCTTTTGTGATTCCTAGGAACTTAATCCACTTAAGATTTTTGGTTATGTTTGATGGTTTATTTCATAATAGAAGTTACTTTGATGTGATATTTGACGAGTTATCTTAATGTATTCTATGTCTATCAATTCTTAATCAGGTAGTCCAATGAGTAAAGCAACTTCATTGACTATGTTGATTACATAATTTATCTTATGTTTGATTGAGATTGATAGCACTTTCTTAGTATCACCCTTTCCATCATTTTGAAGAGAGATAAGTGAAGCATAAAAATATTTCAAAATGTAAATTGAAATAAATGCTCAATTCCTCTCTCATTGAGTTCTTCTACATAATTATTTTGATTAAATATTTTTCTTCTTCAATTTATAATATGTTCAAAAAACACAAATAGAAAAATATATACAAATGCATGTGTGTGTGAGGGCCTGAACACACACACTATATCTTGCCACTAATGTGAAATCATATGAACAAGGTCGAAGTCGTCAGGAGCAACGAGATCTAGCTGCATAAAAATCACATGGGAGATCCAAGGGGATCATGCATAGCTTTGATTCACGCCTTGCTCAAGTAAAGGAGGTAATGAATGGCGTGGAGTTCCATATAGAGGATCTTGGCCAAAAGATTGATGGACTCGAGGAGGAGGATATCACAATCCATTTGAAGATCGAGGTATAATGCTCCAACTGGAGGAGCCTTTAAGGAACCAAGTGGCTAAGATGAGGGAGGACTTGATGGGGGAGCTCCAGGAGGTATGAAGAGCATATAAGATGAGATGAATGGTGTACGTGCTAGCTTGGAGAAGATGTCAGGAGAAATTTTTCTATGTAAGAGAGCACTAGCGACATCCATCAACAATCATACTTTCAAAACCAAGTGTATTGAAGTGCCAAAACGAAAGAGTTTTGGAGGAGCTCGCAACACAAAGGAAGTGGACAATTTTCTATGGGAACTTGAGCAATACTTTAGAGCGATGGGGATTGCCGATGTAGATGTAAGAATTTAATTTGCAACCCTTTATCTCTCAGAAAATGCTTTGACCTGGTAGAGAAGAAAACAAAGAGATATCGAGAAAAGTATTTGCACCA